TATGTTCGCTATATAGACTTACGAAACAGATCTAGAGGGATGCGTGGCCTGTTGCGGTTGAAAGCTAGCGTGCGGTTGAAAGCTAGCGCGCGGCTTGTAGAGGGCCCTCCCTGCTGGCCGCGGGGTTCCTTGTGAGGAATCTCCATATGCATCTCCTTGAAATCGACGTGCAGAGAGAAACCCAAACCGCGTTGAGCCCAATATACATGTTGAACTTCAACCCAAGTCGCCCACATGCCGGGACAAGTGAGGGCTTGCAGGCTTGCGGAGAGTGTCACATGGTCAATGATCCAAGGTGCATGTTGACGATCGCAAGCTCATCAGTAAGTGGTCATTCAGCGCCCAAGATGGGGGAGAGCTTGAAGACATTCGGCAGGATGCAGTAGACGTAGCTGAGACATCTGGGAGGCGGCAGTTCCTCAGAAGCAGAGACCAGTGTCGACCAGTCACTGCGTTTCTGCCAAAGTCTCCAGAGGCTTGCGGACCCCTGTAGACAGAAACTTGCTTGCATTGCTCAGTATTGGCCAAAATAGATATTGTTTCCTGATCAAGAAATGCGAGATTTGCGTACCCCAGAGCGAGTTCAGATTTCTAGGACTTTGCTGGACATACGACAAGACATTGCGCATATGGCACGCATGCAGCCACACCAGGTTTCCGGGGTCCGGAAACACGGCGTCTTGCTGAATCTGGCCAGGCGAGCGACTCGAAATCTCCTTACCTGCCACCCTTCGCAATCTTGTGTTGCACTCGTTTGCTTAGGGTTCTCTAGTTACTCTGTCTCTTTGGGCTCGAACTAGCTAAGTATATGATGTCTCCCCCTCAATTGTGCAGGATTCGCACTGTCTGCCTACGTTGCTATGCCCAAGGTCCAATCCCAAGCTTCTCGGGCTCCTGCTCGTCCCTCCGACCTTACTGCTCGGCGATTCAGGCAACCCCGCCAACCCGCCAACCCCTCAGATAGTTTCATTCAACATCTGTTGGACTGCCCCGAAGCAACCTCAGGAGGCCCATTTGGATTACGCATGGTGGTGAGTCTCTTCGTTGAGACTAAATCGGTATGTCCGCTTCCATACATGAGCTCGCGATGCTGTGAACCCTGACTCTAATGTAGCATCCCGTCGAAGGAATATTTCAAGACCCCACAACTCATCAGCTCTTCATGGCTATTCTGCCCCTGGTGCCCGCGCAACCGCTCATCATCCATATGGACCGTTTCGACGGCAATGATGTGACTGCACCCGGAGCCCCCATCTGGGCTTCAAGGATCCTCGCTCGAAGGGATGCACCCCTGCAGCTCTGCTGCTCTGGTGAATGGCTCCGCGATACCGCCTGGCGCTGGACGGGTCCTTTGCGGTCAAGCGGGCCTGTTGTCGGCCTACGGCGCTTGGCTATCGTCAAGTTTTTGGATTCCTTCTTGGTGAGCGCATCGCTACTACTGTGTGCTTTCCACCATCTTACAGCCATCAGAAAATTCATCGAATTGCAACACAAGGCATCAACATGCCTCGTCGCAAGCCTCAGCCCCGACCGACGTTGCGCAATGTTGAGCTTGTTGCGGAGAAGGTGGGGGGCGACTGGGTCAACATAGAGGCGTTGCGTGAGGCAGAGGACTTGTATCAGCTATTGGCGCAACAGGAACACTCCATTTTTCCTCTGTAGTCCTTCAAACATGTGGATGGTGGTACCAGGTGAATATCACATTTTGCTGATCTCAACGCTGGCGTGGTAGGCATCTGAAAGTACCCGAGGCCCGATATGGTCGCTTCCCTCTCTGGACAATGCGCACCGTGTCCTGTACCTCGCCATGGGTCCAAAGCGAGACAATCGTGGTGGATGCGTGCAACAAGACACTGCCATTGTTCCATGCTGCACGCCTTCCGGACGCAGGAGAACTGTCACGCTTGGCAGGAGAGTCGACTAGACTATGGTCCTCTCATTTGGTGAGTTGGATAGGTCGCTGGCATACTCTCAATGCTTATCATCATTGTGTATCCGCCTTACGATGCAGATATAACCTTGTCCGGTTCGCGTTCGTCCTCCCATATCATTCTCGTACCAGCATCGCCAGTCAGTCACTTTGATCTCGCTAATGGCCAATGCAGCTTACTGCTGGACAGGCGGACTTGTTATCCTTATACTGCAGGATCCGGTAGTCATCTTGGCTTCTTCCGCAGCCGTGCGTACGTTTCGATCTGCCGCTCTGCACCTATCATCTACCACAATGCGCACATCTCACGGTGTACAGGTCTCCATCACTGTACATCCTACCCCTCCGTGTTCATAATATCTAGTTACTCTCTGTCCCTCATGTATCGGAAATGCCTTTCGTCGTCGCTTTCATCTGGCATTCCCTCGGCTATGAGACTGCTGTGTTGTGCCTCACGGCCTGTCCTGCCACACTTGTACCTTGGTATGAAAAGAGTACGACACCTGTCGATTGCACAAATGCAGGTGGCTTTGCTTATTGTAGCTTCATTAATCGGGAGATCGCTCGCACTGGTGGGGTCAATGGGACACCAAGCGCCCATGTGTGTGGCGCTCACCTTCACCGCGATTTTTTTGTACTGGTGTTCCGCCCACCGACTCTCATATACCTCATATATCTGGTCTACACAATCTTTCTTTGGTGCATACCCGAAATTCTTGAACCGACTTGGCAGGTGGAGGTAGTCTTGCCCGATGGTAAGAAAAAAATTCGTCCTGTCTGGTGTAAGCTTCTTAGATCCGGTCTGCAGGATCGCTGATGTGCTCTCCTGTCTCAGGCAAAGCTCGAGGTCTGCAGCTGTTCCAAATGCAAGGGAATACGGCTCGTTCCCCGCACAACCCGACTAGATCACGAAGCACAGGACCTTCGTGCGAAGAGCCTTGTGGAAACTCAATCAGCGCGCCGAAATGAAGCCCATGAAAACACTACTCAAGCTTCACAGGTCGCATTGGATCTCCCAACGGAGAATATAGAAACTATGGCTCACAAGGACACCCGAGGAGACGCATCTGAGGGATATCACGAACCGGAACGCAGGGGGTTCTTTCCCTTTGTTCCGATGGTGTTCAACCTGGTGAGTTATAACAGTACAACTGTCTCTAGATCCCACTGTGGGCTTACATGGAATTAGGGTTCGGTCAGTGCACTGCTTACAAGGCCAGAATCTGCTGCCTCCCCTCCTCCCGATCCGCCAGCCCTCCATCCTCTCTCCGCCATGCTGCCTTCGGAGTTTGCATACTCTAACAGCAACGAAGAGAACATTGGTTTCCCCCTTGCTGAGGATAGTGCAAATGTTGATGAAGATCAGGATGCCGAATGCGATAATTCGGACTGGGAAGACATCGACATGGCTGAGATAGTTGGGGTCGACACTGGTACAAGCGGTGAGCCGCCTACTCCTCCCCTGCCGGGTCCCGCTCCCACAAGCATTCCCGCCTCTGTACCCTTGGATGCGGAAGATGCGGTCGACGTGGATGAGTATTTCGTCCCTCCACAATTCGACCAGGGCGAGCCACTTTCTTTTGCTCGCCACTGGCATCCCGCAGTATTTCTGGCTTCTATGCTTGTTTCCTGGCTCCACCTCTCCGGTCACCTCCCATTCCGGTATTGCGATACTGTGCTCACTGTGATTGGGTATATCCTAATGGCAGTGGGGCAAAAAGATCTTCTCCGCACACTCTTGGGCTCGCTTGGCGGTGCCTTTAGCACCCTGCGCCTTGAGCCATCCTTTCAGATTCTGCCTGTATGCCCTGAGTGTCATGACGTATTCCCCACGTCTGTTCCCTTTGCCGATCCACTCACCCGATGCCGTGCTTGTCGCCATCCTCTTTTCCGACCTGTTCTCGAGGCGGAGCAAGGACGGCGGGGACGACGCCAGAAGGCGAAACCACTGCTAGCCTTTCCCTTCAAATCTTTGGTGGAGCAACTTGCTACAATTCTTGGCATGCCCGGAGTGGAGGACGCGATGGATGCTTGGCGCAAACGTCCTCGCGTCCTGGGATTACTCGCAGACATATTTGATGGCCGTATTTGTCGTAAGCTCCTAGGACCAGATGGACTGTCGTTCTTCAGGTATGACCTTGGTGAGACTGGGCCAAACGATGAGCTTCGCATAGGACTCACTCTCGGGGTCGATTGGTACGATCATATGTGCCGTTGTCATTCAGGGTATCTATTAATACAGCGCCAGGTTCTCGTACTTGCGGAGCAAGATATCACCATCACATTCGTCTTGTCCTATGTCGTTCAGCATCATCAATTTGCCATTCTATCTCAGGTGAGTCTATTCCTTGCTTCGAAGTATGGGTGGTCGTAGAGGGTACACATCTACTCGCTCCGGATGAACTACCTGAACCAGAAGTACATCCTGCTGTCAGTCCGCTGATGCCGTTTCCAGATATCGGACCGCCTATCTACTCTTAGCAGGCATTATGCCTGGGCCGAAGGAAGCAGATCCAGACCAAGTACAGCGGTATATGCGAGTTTTAGTCAATGAGCTCATCCGTCTCTGGAAATACGGCGCCATGGTGCCGACACCGAAGTATCCCAAAGGTAGACGCATACGTGTCATCCTGGTTGGCGTGGTGTGTGACAAACCTGCCGCGCACAAACTTGGCGGCTTTGGTTCGCACGCGCACACGTACTTCTGTATTCAAGACTGGATATCGCAAACATTCAAGGCAACTATTGAGGCGTTTAAGGCGAATGGTAGGCTAGGTTTTATGTTAATGGACCTCTCTACGTGGGATATTGACTTCGATCACGTTGATTCAGCATTCCGGACACGCACAGATGCCGAGCATCGCAGCTTTATGGCTCAGTATCAGCAGTGCAGTTCAAAGGGCGAACGTGAGGACTTTGCTCGGAAGTATGCCACCCGTTGGTCAGAACTCGCACGCCTGCCATACTTTGATATGTGCCGGATGATCGTCGTTGATCCCATGCACAATCTTTTCCTGGGTATGTGTCAATGGTTCTCAATCAATGTTTCCACGCTCACAAGCATTACAGGGCTCGTAAAAACTCACTTCTACCACATCTGGGTCCAGCTGAAGATCTTGAGAAAGACGAAGGAGTTGCGGCAATTGCACTCCGTTCTCGAGAAGGTGCGGTGATTCCTTGGGTTTTATAGTCTTCGTGATGACGCGCTGTCACCGACCGGTCCGCATTTGTGATACACTACTCTGGGTAAGAACCCCACATTGATATACTGGGTGCTAACGGCGTGATGATAGCTCGAGCTGCCTGCTACTCTTGGCCGCCTGCCGAGGCTGATCGGGGAGCCTGCGGGCGGTTCGCTCACAGCAGACCAGTGGCTTATTCTAGCAACGGTCATAGGGCCTCTCGTGGTGAGGCGCACATCTCACAGTAACTACTTATAGAATACTCATCATAATTCGGAAACTTTCAAAGATTCCGGATATCTGGAGAGATTGTGCTCCAGACCCTGATGGCTCTCGCTTGCAGCAGCGTCTCAGCGCACTGACAGGGGTGGCAGCCAAACGTCGGGCCCAGCGGACTACTCGCTACGCTGCCCCAGGAGGTAAGGCTGGAAGCAAACGAAAGCGCACGTCCGGCCGGGTCAAGAAGAGAGCACCCAAAGTTTCATCAGCATCTCGGACAGATATAGTACGCTCTTTTCTGAATACCTCACATCATCGGCGATTGACAGCCTGTAGTCGGGCCAGGATCCACTCATGGCCCCACGGCGTACTCAGCGAGTTTCCAAGCCGACGGAAAAGCATAGAGTATGTTAGCTGTATGTGTCTTGTTACGAAGGCCGAACTGATGCCGGTGGCTTGCTTATTAGGATATGGTATTGGAGTCTGACGATGATGGGGGGATTGAAATAGATGCGGAAGAGAACTGGTCTGATGACTCAAGTGATGGAGACGACGCCTGGAGTGCGCAGGCGTCAATCCATGAGCGAGACGTCCCAAACTTTCTCAAGCTCGCTGAAGCACTAACAACATTTCTCGCAGATGAGCTGTCAGAGGATGATGTGATGATTGCGGACCAGCGGCTTCGTGAATATTGCACGGAACTCTTGGAGGTAAGATCCAGGATTCAATTTCAGTAACATGATGGAGTGGCCTCATATCTCGTATACAGTTGTACGGGCCAGCTATTATCCGGCCCAACCACCACTATGCAACGCACACAGGGGACTTTGTCCTTGACTATGGGCCTTTGCGGGAGTTCTGGACGTTTGTTTTTGAACGGCTGAACAAAGTTCTCAAGAGCTTCAAAACGACCGGACGTGCTGGTGGAGAACTCGAGTGCTCCTTTTTTCGAGAATTCCACCGTTCTGTCCGTCTGCACCGTTTGGTAAGCTCAGCCTTTCATACGAACTGTGTATCTTTTGTACTGAATATTCAAAGCTGGTGTCCGGGCTAGATGAAGCAGCGGACCCAGGTCTCCAGGCAAGCTGTGATGCTATGTTGGCGGCTGCTGCAGATGATCGCGGTACTTTGCAGAACCTCGTGCAGGATCTCGACAACACCTTCGCTGACAGTACGTATACCTATTCACACACCAAATACGATAGGTTAATGTTGGTATATGCCTAGAGGGGAAAATTTGCGAGCTGAGCCGACGTGCCTCTCGGGAGATGTTCCCCGAAGACCTATACTACACACTCTTGAAGCACGTCCAGTCGCGGCATCCCCTTCAACAATTCCATTCTTTCATCTCCTTGGCGCCATCGCCGACTAGCACGCTTGTCCCGAACATCGCCACTTTTTTCGACTACGCTATCATCCACGGTCACCGATATTACGCCTCCCGTCGCACAATCTCGCCACGAAATTCTCTCGCTCTCGTGCAGTGGAACACCTCAGGATCTCCCTCTCAGCGTCGTCATGCTGGTGAAATCACTGATATCTTCATGTTCGAGCACCCAAGCGTGGGTGCTGTCTATTTAGCTGCAGTCCGGTGGTTCCGCACGTCGAGCACCAGCATCGCTGACACGCCATGGGCTTCTCAGTAGGTCACTCTATTTCCGTTCCATTGATGAATGATCAATATTTGTGTCCAATGCCCGTCAGCATGTCTCTCCGAATCCAGATCTGGGATGCCAACAATTATCTCTCTGTGGGAGAACCTGGCCCGGAGACACTTATCTCACTGACAGATATTGTGAGCCCACTCGTTCGGCATACAACGATCATTGCGGGCAAGAGGACATGGGTAACTATCCCAGTATCACGTTCACTCCATGTGCATCAATCAGGCCGTGATTAGCACTCCAGGAAGTACGTCAAATCCTCCTTAAGTCTTATGATGCACATGGCACATACTCACTAACTTGCAGGGGCCCCGTCTCTCGACGATCTTGCTCCGACACGAACTCGAGCTCGTTCGACTGCGCTGCTCCTTCCATCCATTTCCGCTCCCACTACAGCGTCTCTCAGTACTCGATGACTGCCGGGGACGAGTACGAGGGCGCCGTCGACGCTTTCGGAGAACCGGGCGCGGTGGGCGACTACTACGATCAGGCGTCGACACCTACGGCGGTCAAGTACGCCAACTTCCAAACACGCCTCAGATGTTTCTCCGATGTCGGTCGTGCAGCCTGTGACCTCCTCATCTCCTTCCACGCATGTACCATGGAATCCTCGTTGTTGTCTCGCCAGTCCTGGTCGTTTTTTTATGGATATCACCACACGGACGTGCCGCAGGCCTAGCCCTGCATGTTCTTATTCTCCCCGCCGTGTCCAAACTGCGTCCTTGTTAGCTCCTGTTAAGCGGAGAACGCTGCTCACAGATTCGTAGACATACATGAGAGTGGTCAATGTGAAATAATCTATGCGTGCTGGGCCACACCCTGAATGGACGACATTTGGCGCTTAAGCGCCTAGATCGCATTCGGCGTCTGTGGTGATAGCTTTCGGTGCCCTCTCGTTCTTCTTGCACTCCATCAATATCATCACCATCGACCCCTGCTGCTTGACTCTGAGTTGCTCCTCAGAGACAATATACATCCCTCTCAGACTCAGTTGAAACTGCTGCTCCTCGTGCCTAGGTGTCCTCCTCTAAATGGTGAGCAAGTCGTACCTGCCCCCTTATCGATGAAGCCTCTCACCACCTTCGTTTCAGAAGTAGACTCCCCCACCCTCTCCCTCATGGTCCCCCTCTTGTCCCGCGGTCTCAACGAGAAGCTCACCGCCACCAAGCGTAAGGTTGCGGTCATCATCGACAAGACGGCCAAGGTCGTCGATTCGCCCGTGACCGTCCGCCCCTTCATCCCCAAGCATCTCCCCGGCCTCATCAAGATTGAGAGTGTCATCGGTGACCCTGTGGCCCGCAGCGTTGTCGCTCGTGCCATCGCTACCCTTCGTCAGGTTGGTGAGGTCCCCACTGGCGACGGCTCTGACCTCCCCCCTCTCAAGAAGGCGGAGGAGAAGACCCTCGCTCATTCCCTCATCGACCTCTACAAGAAAGCCGGCGCCAACCCTGTCCCCTCCGTTGCCGACGTTGCGACCATCTACGCTTCTCAGCTCGCCACGAACATGGTCAACGTTAAGAAATTCGAAGTCTCGGAGTGGCAGACCCTCATTCCCTACCTTGTGTTCCTCATAACCTCGCCCGACCCGAACACCATCGTCAATAAGTGGGCGGTCAAGTCGGCCTCTGCCGAGGTCGAGGACGAGACGCAGGCTGAGGATGAGGATGAGGGCGAGGACCTGTGCAACTGCCAGTTCTCGCTTGCCTACGGTGCGAAGATCCTGCTTAACACTGCGACTGTCCGTGTTAAGCGTGGTCACCGCTACGGTCTCTGCGGTCGCAACGGTACCGGGAAGTCTACCCTCATGCGTGCGATCACCGATGGGTACGTTGTTTCGCCCCTCATTGGCGAGCACGATGCTGACTAACAAGTTCTCCATAGCCAAGTTGAGGACTTCCCGTCCCCCGACGAAGTCCGCACTTTCTACGTGAAGCACGGCATCGACGGTTCCGAGGCCAATGCCTCTGTTCTCGTCTTCATCATCTCGGACAAGTGTATCCAAGCGACTCGTGAGGAGATCATCGGGACCTTCGCATCCCTCGGCTTCTCCGACGAGCACCAGAAGTCCGCGATTGGCTCCCTTTCGAGCCTACCAACCACTTGGACGTTTTCAATGTTGCGTGGCTCGAGAACTACCTCACCAGCCTCACGACCTGCACGTCGATCATCGTTTCGCACGACTCTGGCCTCTTGATAAACGTCATCACCGACGTCCTCCACCTGATCCGCTTCAAGCTCAAGCGCTACCGCGGTATCCTCGATGCGTACATGAAGGCTGTCTCTGGCGCGCGTTCGTACTACACGCCTATGCCCGGGAGGACTACCAGTTCAAGCTGCCCGACCCCCCGCTCCTCGAGGGTGTCAAGACCGAGAAGTCCCTCCTCAAGATGCGCAAGGTCGGCTTCCAGTACTCTACGCAAGCCAACCAACAGCTATACGACATCACCCTTCAAGTTTCACTCTCCTCCCATGTCGCCGTCCTCGGTCCCAACGGTTCCGGCAAATCATGCTTGTCAACCTTCTCATTGGCGACGCATGCGCCGCTGCTGACGGGCTCCGTTGCCAATGGGCACATATGCATGCTCTCTTGAATGGTACGGCCCACAGGGGGACCTCGACGACCGCTGAGCAGCTCGGTAGGAAGACAGTGTACCCGCACGTTACGCCCAAGTAGTACTACGCGCACAGCACGAACAACGAGGGTGGGCGTCGCAAGCGATGGCAGTCTGGGATGAATAGAGCTGCGCTCATGAGTGCTGACTGGTACAAACCGGAATCGACAGAAGAAGAAGAGGCGGGCGCCGAGGTACGATGACTTTCTCCATGTCACCAGGACGCCGATAGTTGGGAATATTGGATGGCGGCGCCATAAGAAGGGTAAGTGTGCAACCCACAGATCATGAAAAGGACAACGGCAATGACAGGCAATTGACAGAGTTCTTTGCTGGTTGCGACAGCTTTCTTCGTGCTGGCCCAGGTATGAGATTTTGTATCAGGTTTCGATATTACATTATAGTATATATCATTCTTCCCAATCTTCCACATCCGCTATCCAACCACAATCATCCTTTGGAAGATCGTCATCGAGAATCGTCAGCCCAAAGATCGTCATAGACTCTGGGGCCAACGGAGCACCTTCCAAGAGGTGCATGTTGTCTGTATGTTTCGCCCAGGACTCACTCATGCACTCCTGTGTCGGGCGCATGCGCTCTTTCTTCATTCCTTTCTTGTCTGCCCTCACCCTCTTAATGTAGGGTACGTCAAGGTTGTAGTTGACCACTGGACCACGAAAGCGTCCATATCGAACACCTTGAGCCCCGGAGTGCAGTTCATCAGCAAACTTGCGCAACACCGCATAGATGCGGTTCAACTAGTATGTCAATCTTGGTGAGTATCAGCAAGACTCATGAACATGAAATTGTCACTGACGAACATAGACCGCCAACAGAGTCGACGAACCTCCACCGCACTCTGACCCACCATGGCGTCATCGCGACATTTCTTCCACTCAGCCTCAGATGCCGCGCCGAAGTCATCATGCTCAGAACTCTGCCACTCGGTAAGCACGAGCGCGTCGATACCTTCAGTTTTGTCTGAGTGATAATACTTCCTGAACGCCGGAATGGCGGCACGCATCCTAGCTGCCTTCTATGGACACGAAGTAAGTCAAATTCAATCGTTACACTCGAAGGAAGCTCGATATTCACCCGCTTTTTTTGCTGCCTCACTTTCTCCCTCAAACTCTTGTCTCCGATCTTCTTCTGACCTTCGGCGGTCGCGCGTCTCTGGTACTGACTCCTCAGAGTACGAAAGTAAGTCTTCGCATATTCCTCAATACGTGTACGAGGCACTTGATCGGTGTCCAGGTGGAAGACCTTCGCTGGTAAGCAAAGTAAGTGCCACAGCCAGTCCAATGACTCTTCGAAACTCACGGCCATTTTCGAGGACAAGCTCCACGACAGCGTGGACAAATTCAGCATTTATACCAACGTCGACATCAGCAAACCAGTTCGGATTCCAGAGCTGAGTGCCATCGGCTGCCAGTCGAGGTTCCTCGCCGTCAGCAAGCGGGGGTGGAAGTTTGTAGTAGGGGCGCCCTGTAGGTCCCTTCTCCGTCTTTGTCGCACACCCGAGGAGCTGACGTGTATAAAAGTGGACCATTTGCTATGAAACATCAGGTGGTGAGTGCTTACTACAACAGTGCTGAGAGCGAATAGCTAACTCACAGTGAGAGGCCGGTCGCGTTCGTCATCGCTGTCGTCTTCGCCCTTTTTTTCAGAGCGGACCTCCTCGACCACCTTCGACATCTCTTGGCGGAACTCATCAAACAAGTTCCCCATTTTCTCCGTGAGTGCATTCATCAGTCTCTCTGATATCTCGCCACGCATCCGGGCTAAGTGCGGCTGCAGCTCGCGAACGACAATTTCGACGGCACTGGCGACTATAGCCTGCTGTTGTTGGGCAGCATGCATCGCTGTCGCCCCTGGGTACGTCGACTGGAACTGTGGATGACAATCACATTAATAACATGACTTGGTGCTACATCAGATGATGTTGGACCAGGGCCATTGCACCATCGCCTGGTATGTAGCCCCCAACACTCTCACAATTTGACACGTCTCCGACTCAGTTATCTATGCTCATATACGGTGGAGGGGAATGGAGCAAGCTGCGCATGCGGACATCCTTGCGCTCGTTGCGCTCGGCTTTGAGGTCAGCGATGAGCTGCAGCAATTCGTCCGACGGCTCCGAGGCTGCAGAGGATGACGCCCAAGAGACATCCGAGGCGCACAAGACGGTGTGCGAGCTAGATGAGCGCACAAAGATGGCGGACGGAGAGGACACAGACGGACATTGCACAGAGGCCCAAACAGCATTAACGGTGAAAAGACGTACTCACATTATAGGTCGCTGCTTCACCGAGCATGAACGAGCTGGGCTCAAAGCCTGACATATTCCCGAGGCCAAGCGGGTCTCCCTGATCATCGCAAGCGTGGTGAGTACATTGAATCTCTGCAGCGTGTAACAAGACCGACTCACCATACCTCCTCCTCTGACACCTCCTCCCATCACCCCATCGCCATCTCCGTCTCCTTGGGAAAATGTGGGCATCGCGTTCAGTTCGCCAAAAGTATGTGAGTAGTTCCTGAGCCCCGCCATTGTGACGGTGAGGATGATGGTCCCAACAACGCCTCCCTCCTATATATGTATATGTTTTTTGATAATCAGTGAGCTGTCGTCAACTTTCCTCCTGAAATCATTCAAGCTAATGTTTCTCGCGCTGAGGCACAACCTTGACATCTCAGTACTAGTGTACATTATCCTCGATCGAACTGACTGTCATATGGTTCTGCCCCGCCACCTACCTCCAGATGGAGCCCGATGAGGCGCATCAGTGACTGCGATGACAGTCGGTGCGCACACCCATATCGGGTAAGTGCGACCATCGGTGAATGTCCAAAAATCGCGCCCTCACCCAACAGCTCTCCTTTGTAGTGCTGCTCATTCCGCATCTTTGTAACGATGTAAAGTGTAGATATATACTAGTATTCTAGCCATGTCCCGAGAACAATACTGTATGGGCACACGAAGCACGCCCTTTCCGCGCGCTTGATGTGCCTAGATGAGGCGCCTCGTACTCGCTTAACGGAAGTTGTTGCCGGATCTTACGATCGTCGGGACAACAAGTTGCAAGTGAATCAACGCCCACCAATGCGATATTGCGGATGTGGCAGATGATTGCAACATTGGATTTCTGACGGCTAGAGATCATTGCTATCGTGAATCGCCCACGTCACTCGGATCTGGCAACTGCGGCTTGGACGCCCCAGACGACCCTTCGGGAACATGTCGGATTCAGGTGATTGCTTGTCCATCCACACCGAATTGCTGGCCTCGCACCACCATTCAGCAATTCCGGGTACGGCGTAGGATTGCTGGAGGTACTGACAACATTGTTTATGCAGTGAGTTAGTATCCCCGGTGAGGTCCCAGAGGGCCAGAGGCTCCAGCAGAGAGGGAGTGACGTTGTCTGACAGTTCAGGGGACTGAGAGAAAGCCAGTAGAGTAGACGCGTCATGGTTCCCAAGTCCAGAGGAAGCCAGATTGTCGTCAAGCTCAGGAGAGGAGACTTGGAACATGGAACCAGGAGACGTCGCCCCGTAGGCTCATGAGCTTGTGCGCCAGTCTTCAGACACGATCGACAACGTCAAGACAAAGATCATATCTTGCCATCTTGAGGGGTCCGGCAGTAACGACAGTCGCAATCCACCACCAACGGACGCCACCGCCGCCACCAATTGCAACAGCCGCATCAGTAACGAACTCATCTTCGTGCACGGTCTGCACATATA